TACCGAGACAACTGCCAACAAGCGAGCAACTGTCGAGGTGAACAATGCCAGTGATCACGGAAAAGTGAGTGTCTGCAATTCTGTAGGCAGGAATCGTGACAGTGCTGCTGGTGCTGAGGACAGAAATACTAAAGCTCGACTGAGTGCTACCGAACTGTCGTCAAGTCACAGTTGTGGTGGCGTCGAAGGTGCTGCTGCTGCTGATACACGGGAACCGTTAACGGGTGAAGTGGAGACAGCAGTGCGAGGCAGCAGAGAGGACACAGTCACTCGCAGTGCCAGTCGCAACAGCAGCACTGGCGGAGGAGGTGGCACGATGAAGAAGCAGAGCAGAGCATCGTTTGGTGCCGCCGATGTGCGAGACAAGGATGGGGGTTTACCGATCCTGGGCACTAGGACCACCACCAGCAACACCTCATCTCGAAGTAGCCGAAGCAGCAGCCACAACCCTCGACCTGGTGGTGGCCAGCTGAGTGAGTCCGCCGTGTACTTGATCAACCGCATGTTTGAGGACAGTGACTACCACCGGTACCAGTGTGGAAAACAACAGTCAACAGCGGACGGGGGTGAAGAGCAACAGCACCAGCAGCATCAGCATGAGTATGGCGAACACGAGCACATCTACGCGTCACTCTCCTCCTCTCCTCGATCTGCATCGCCCTACTCCGCCAATCAACATCATCATCATCATCATCCGCATCATCAACACCAACAACAACAGCAACCGAATCAGCATCTGCACGCCTCCTCGCCGTACATCTGCAACTCTTCGGTCTGCACTGCGTCCACTCGAATGGAGTACGACGAGTCGCTCTCCTCACTGCACTCGACCACCAACTCAGACCACCACAGTGGCCAACGGGTGCGATCGTCGTCAGGTCTGCCGCAGTCACTTGCCACGACGGTTGTCTCGCACCAGTCTTCATCGCCCAGCTCTTCGCAGCAGTCAACACTGGAGAAGCAAGTCGACTCGGCTATTGACGAAGACGGCGATTTGATAGCTGATGATGATGACATCAGCGAGGCGGGCACGTACACTGTCGAGATTGATCAGATCGACGGCTCAAAGCACCGCAAGAAGACGCCCAGTGAGGAAGATGAGCTGACGGCTGCCGTGGAAGACAGCTCAGTCAGGCGAGAGGGACACTTTGAGGAGGATAGCTGCTCTACCATTGCCGAACCAGTTGTTTCAGCGACCGAGGACTACGAGGAGGATGCCGACTGTGAGGTAGAGGACAATGAAGAGGAAGAGGAGGAGGAGGAAGAAGATCAACTGGAGATTGCCCGCAGAAAGATTGACGAACTGTTCAATGTGTACAGTAGTCAGAAGAGCAAGGAGTCGATGGAGCCGATTGCTTCAGGCAACAATTCGACGAACAATTCTACCTTCACTCGGCCTAAACGACGCTCACGTACCTCGGCCTTGTCCACTGATGAGGATGAGGAGGAGACGGCGGCCACGACATCTGCGACCAGCGATGAGTGCCTGCCACTGTCAGCTCACTATGAGGCTGCAGTCAAGGAGAGAAGTGCATTCTCAAAGAAGCGCATCAGCACCGAGCTAATGACTGCACTGAAGAAGATCAACTCCAAACTGGAGCGAACTGTCAAGCTGGGCAAAATGAACTCGCCGCCAGTGGAGGAGCCTAAGAAGCGGGGCATTCCTTCTGCACCTTTGAGATACACAAACCAGTCACAAACTGCAGCGCCGAAAGTGGGCAAAACTCACTCGGCACCGGCGACGCCGTTGCTGTCAGAAAACCGCAAGAGCTTCCGCTACAGCAAGGCCATTCCAACGGCAGCCAAGCCTACAGCTGCTCGAGTGTTCAGTCGCAAGAACTCCACCGTCACCTCGGCCAGTTCAGTGGACGACTTTGACGACCAGTCATCGGCACTGAGCACTGAAACCTACATTCAGCCAGTTGCCCGGGGACGCAGTGAGTCGGTGAACTCAGCAGCCTCCAACAACAGCTCAGCCAACAGCAACACTAACAGCAGCATGCGCTTCAATCGAGCCTTTGCACTACGTCGAGCCCGACTGGGCATGGACACCTGTGGCGTGGAGATCTCCGAATCGGCGGCGAGCAAAGCAAAAGAGGCGCAGGCCAAGGCGTCTCCAAAGCCGAAGCCTCAGCTGGCGGCTTTCAGGCGCAACGACGGCGGACGGTTTAGCCTTCGAGCGCCCAGTGCAACTGCAGGGGCTTCCGGCACTCCACGAACTCGTCAGCCTTTCATGGCTAAGCAGTCACCAGTGACCACCCCCTCCACCAGAACGTCGTCGACAGGTCCAGTGAAGGCCAAGCCCTCTCCCGCATCAGTTGCCGTTCCTGTTTCTACCGTAAAGTCCATACCGGTGAAGGCGCCCACTAAACCTCGAACTGGCTCCTACTCTGCCTCTGCCTCTGTCTGCTCTTCATCAGAGAACATCGCTGGCTTCTCCTCGAAGCTGACCAGTCATAGTCCGCGGACGGTTCGCAAGCTTCGCTCCTCAACTACGGCCGTCAGTTCGGCGGTGTCTGTTCCCAAGGCGGCCCACTCTGACAATGAGATTATCCTCAATGACGGCGAGTCGTCGTGTGGTGAGGAGCCACAGCCACTCTTCACCCGCTTCGGCCGTTCTTCGCTTCGATCGCAGCCTGCCACTAGCAGCACGCCATGGTTGCAGTCGTTGAATGCCAGTCGAGAAGGTCAGTGTTTAGCTTTTTCCCTGATCCGTCCATTTTCTAACTTTATTTCCTTATACAGTCAACTATTCCAAACAACGAATCTCCACTGCGGTTCATCCGCACCAGCAACAACAGCCGCAGCAGCCTTCATCGGTTTTTAGTTCCTCACTGCAAAAGAGTTCCTCCTTTTCTTCAAATGCTCCAGCTGCAAAGAATTATCATTCGAGTGGTCGCAGTGCCCACAATGCTTTTGGCCTAGCCGAGTCAGGTGATATGTGCACTCAATCGGAGGCAGTTCAGCCCTCTGAGTGCGTCCGCTCCATTCCGAGCTTTCAAATGGGCAAGCGTTTCTTCTCCACCAAGCCCCATCAAATGGCACAATTTGATCGAGACTTCAGCGCAGTAGCCCGGTGCTCGTCGGCCGCCGCCAATGGACATCAGGCGAATGGACAGCACCAGCAACAACAGCACCAGCACCAGCCTCACAGCAGCGGTCACAGCAAGAAGCTCACGTCCGATCCGAATCTGATGACCCACTCTGCCACCGAGTCTCTGCTCAGTCGTCACGTCCTTTCCACCTCTCCCGGAGCGAGCAATGCCGTCGCCGACAGTCTGGGCAGCCCTCGAGTAGATCAGCCATCCACCGCCTCTGCCTCGACCACACTGACGCCCCCAATCAGCTCCTGCGGCGGCATCAACGCTCGCATCTTCTCCATTTCTCCGCTTGACTCTCTGGTCATCTCCGCCATCAACCAGCTCTCCTTTAAGCTTCGCACTCGAATGCGAGACCTTCTTGAACGAGAGCGCTCCAACAACTCCATCGGCTCGGAGACGCGCGTCCTCATTGAGGAGATTCTTCCACAGGTGGGCCCCTCGGCCATTGGCATGGACAGTCGATCAGGCCAGCCGAAGAACGCCTACAGCCATGAGCCGTCCAACATCAGCCGAGACCTGTCGAACATTCTCAAGAATCTGAAGAAGGTTGAGCAAATTTTTGAAGGTAACTAATAGTGTGCAATAAAACCTGACCATTTTCTAACCCAACAATGCTTTCTCATTTCTCAGTCTTTAACATGCTACTGGAGCCCGGTATGAGCGTTCAGGAGGTTCCTAGTGACCAGGTGTCAGTGGCGAGCAGCGGCACTGCCCACTGCAATGCCATTGTGACGCATGCCAGTGACAGTGACAGCGCCAGTGACGGACTGCAGTCCACCACCAGTCATGGACACCACTCAGCATATGCAGCACCCTCCTCCTCCTCAACCCGAATGGCGGTGGCGAGGACAAATGCCGTGGTTGCCAGTGCACCAGTTGGACAGCAGCAGCACTCGCACCGACCAGCACCGGCGAACCTGAGCCGATTTGCCTCACAATCGCCGCCTGAATCGCCGCCCACTAACAGTCGAACCAGCGGCGGTGGCTTCTTCATTGAAATATGAATACACAAATGCTGACAACTTTCTCCCTCCCATTTCCCTTTCCTCTCACTTCCCACACCCACTCTTTCTCTCCACTGCAGACTTAACCTCCGCAAATGAAATGTGATATCGAATCTAGTTGGAAATCTGAACTTCACCCGCCCCTCTCCTTTTCCTACAATATTATTATTTAACATGTGTCTAAGAGTAGTTCCCCTTTCCTGTACATAGCTACCCCATACTATCTTCACAATCTTGAAGTGTTCCANCCATTTCCCTTTCTTCTCACTCCCACACCCACTCTTTCTCTTCACTGCAGACTTAACCCTCGCAAATGAAATGTGATATCGAATCTAGTTGGAAATCTGAACTTCACCCGCCCCTCTCCTTTTCCTACAATATTATTATTTAACATGTGTCTAAGAGTAGTTCCCCTTTCCTGTACATAGCTACCCCATACTATCTTCACAATCTTGAAGTGTTCCACGCAATCTCTCTTTCTCTGTTTTTCAACATTCAAAGTCAACACACAACGGTAGCTAACACCGGCCACTAATCAAACACAGACAAACATAGACTGGCATCTTTACAAAAATGTTGCGTCTGTCACTATTTTCCTAATCGAATCAGTCAACTCTGAAGGCATTTACAATTCCACTTCTGGTGCACTTTATATTTTGCAATCTTTTGTTTTACTTTTTTCACTTTATATTGACAATAAAATAATAACACTGGGACTCTAGCTCAGTGTATGCGTATTCTTCATGAGATGGCACTTTGATCGGCGATACTTTGTTTTGATAACAAGAAATCGCAGTCACATGCTTTGCTGTTTGTCTGCTCCTCTCTTTCTTTTTCTTTTTGCCTGCAAGGTGACTGGCGCGTGATTGCACTGCACCAAACACATCCAAACCCTATGGCTCCCTACCGATTGGCAGTTCTCACCTCGAGTGATCGATGCAGCGCCGGACTGGCTCAGGACGAGAGTGGTCCACTGCTTGAGTCCTCCATCGTCGACTGTGGCGAGCTGTACTCGGTGGCTGAGAAGAGAACGGTGCCCGACGACCGACTGACAATTGAAGCAGTACTGAGAGAGTGGTGCACTCTTCGAAATGATATTGACTGCGTCATCACCACCGGCGGCACTGGATTCACTGCCCGAGATGTCACTCCGGAGGCGACAAAAGCGGTGCTGCAGAAGGAAGCCCCGGGTCTGGTGCACGCCCTGATGGCGGCATCACTAAAAGCGACGCCCATGGCAGCGTTGTCCAGACTGACTGCCGGCATTTGCAATCGAACGCTCATTGTCAACTTTCCGGGAAGTAAGAAGGCATGTCGAGAGTGCTTTGACGTTCTGAAGCCCTTTCTGAAGCATGCTATTGACCAGTTGAGGGAGGATCGAGGACAAATTGATATGACGCATTCTGAGCAACTTGCTGTCAATTTGCCAAAAAGTGAGTGTTTATTTGGCTCTTTGCTCTTCGTTTTGATCCTGATACTTCTCTCATTTAGGCAAAGTTAAGCTGATTGCAGTAGCCGACCGGCACCGCCATTCACCCTATGAAATGCTGTCTATGGACGATGCTTTTGCCAAAGTTCTCCAGCAGGTAGAGGCGTACTTCAAACAGGAGGGAGGAGAAGACCTGACGACAGTAGTCAGCGCCAAAGATTTGCACCAATACTCGGGGTACATTCTCGCAGAGGATGTCTTTGCCTCAGTGCCACTTCCTCCCTTCAATGCCTCCATCAAGGACGGATATGCGGTCATTGCCGAACAGGGAGACGGCATTCGAAAGCTGCTGCCAAAAACGATGGCCACCTCACTGGCCGGCGGGAGTTCAGTGGCCAGATTGACCGGCCTGCCCGAGTACTGTGTGCGCATCAACACCGGCGCCGCAGTGCCGGAGGGCGCCAATGCCGTCGTCCAGGTGGAGGACACTGAACTGGTGGAGCGCACTGAGGACGGCGAAGAGGCGGTCATTCGGCTGAGCACCGTGCCCAGAGTGGGCCAGGACATACGACCCATCGGTTCGGACATTGCCGCAGACGGGAAACGGCCTCTGCTGCCTCAACACACTCCACTGACGGCCATTGAGTTGGGTCTGCTCGCCTCCACTGGAGTGCCCTCGGTGCGGCTGTACCGCCGTCCAACAGTGGCCGTCATGTCCACCGGTGACGAGGTGGTCCTGCCTGGCGACCACCGCCCGCCGCACTGCATCTGGGACTCGAATCGAGCCGTGCTCATGTCACTGCTGCGGCCGCACTACTGCCTCATCGACCTGGGCATCGTCCCTGACCGAGTCGATGAGACCTTCCGAGCAGTGGACCGTGCCCTGGCAGTCGCCGACGTGCTCATCAGCACCGGGGGCGTCTCCATGGGCGAGCGCGACCTGGTGAAGCAGGTTCTGAAGGAGGACTTTGGGGCGACCATCCACTTTGGCAGGGTCAACTTGAAGCCGGGCAAGCCGACCACCTTTGCCAGCTGTACGCACACGGGCAAGTGCAAGTTCATCTTTGCCCTGCCCGGCAACCCGGTCAGCTGCTTTGTCACGTACCAGGTCTTTGTCAAGCCCACGCTGGACCTGCTCTCAGGAAAGTTGTTTGCCTTGTCTGAAGACAATCGCTCCCAGGGACTGCTGGCGATGCACAAGACGGTCAAGTGTCGCCTGAGGCTAGAAAAGCCCTACAAGCTTGATCCACGTCCTGAGTTTGCTCGCGCTGTTGTTTCATTTCCAAGAATGAGCACTTTATTGGCGACTTCTACAGCGGAGGCAAATCCACTAGAGCATTTTCCAACGGCTCGATTAACTGAAAATAATCAAATCAGCAGTCGTCTGTTGAATGTCAAAGACGCCAATGCGCTAATTCTATTTCGTTCGGGAAGTGAAAGCGCTGGACAATTTCTAGAGGACGGCACTCTAGTTGATGCCATTTTGCTTTAATTATTCTTGTAAAAAGTTTGAGGATTTGAATAAAGTAGAACCAGCTAAACAGTGGTATCAATCCATTTGATAATCGCTTCGGTGCTGCTAGACTTTGGAGATGAGCTGCAGTCAATGAACTCAATGTTGTTGCTGATGTCAGCAAATGAAAACTCGCGATTTGGATTGCCCAAAATTTTAGGCACCTCTCCGTCGCCAGAAGTAGTGTCGAGTGCACCAAGACGAGTTTCTCGTATCGTGTTGCTATTCAAACAAAAAATAATAAAATAAGAAATACTAAAGTAAAATAATTTAACAAAAACTCACAATTCCTTCTCAAGCTGTGTGAATATGGCTTTGGCGGTTTTAGCGCGTGTCTCATCTTGTTTAGTACAAGCGACCAAGAATGGAATGCGCTTCGAGATGACAAAATCATCACTCAAATATTGGTACAGTAAATCGGCAACATTGTGCAGATTCGACATGAAAGTAACGCTGTCAATCACGTAAACGACACCCAAAGCGCGAAACTTGAGTTTTTCCCAAAACTGGTTACGCAGACGTTCAAAACCGGGCACGTCGATCAGTGAAACAAGTCGGCGACTACCATTTGTCCGAATCTCCTCCTCGTTCTCCTTCATTGATGTGACCGTTTCAGTGAAAGTGTTGTGGGCCAACTAGAGGAAAAAAGTAAAGTTACAAATCTCAAACTTACGTTTAATTTGACTTACCTGAGTGAACAGAGCCGTCTTTCCAGCATCAGATAGGCCAACTAGAAGAATAGACGTTCGCGTATTTCTACGCCCAAGAAGGTACAAAACTACAAAAAACAGATTCGGTTACTCCCAACTGTTCCAAAACCGGTAAAAAATGCCAGGACTACGTACTGATGGAGATAAGAATCACAGCAACAGCCACCACGATTGACACGGTCTGCACATCAAAGACGTCGGCTCGGACGGCCGAAGCCGACCTTGAGCCGGTGGATTGCGATCGACCGTCCATCGGGGCTGAGTTCAGAGAAGGTCGGCTGGAGATCGGGAGGTTGAGGGAAAACAATCAATAAACACAAGCGAATCTTCCTTTGACACGTGGAAAAGTGTTTGTGAGTCGCCTGAGAGGGCGGCAGCGCCCACTGACAGTAGAGAGCGTTACTTGGGTGCTGAGGAGCAGCGTGGCCGTTCCGAGCTGCCCACCGAACACACAATTTGTTGTCTTCGAAAGAGAGCAAACTGCGACGAACTGTTACTCTGTTACCGTAGAACCAGCCGATCCCACCTGAATTCTCCTTGATTGATGGTGTCCTAGGCGGGAGATTCTCTTTTCACCTTTTTTCAGAATTGTCTCCTGCGACGACGATGTCAGCAACAAAGAAGAGCAGCACGGAAGGCACCCCGACGACGACCAGCTGGTCAACGGCGGGTCCGTCCACTGGCAGCCAACAGCAGCAGCAGCCGCCGAACCGTAAGCCCCATTCTCTGTCTTCGACTGGCACCTCGGCCGACCTTCTATCGCCTAGTTCTCGCTATCAGTTTTTCCGAAATGCTTCCTCTTCCTCTTCCTCCTTAACTTATTCCAACTCGCTCCGATCTAACCGTACGGCTGCCGTCTCGAGCCACCACTCAACCACTGGCAGTCCAATAAAAAAGACTAACAGCTTCTCTAACCTTTACTCTTCACACTTTCCTCTGTCAACTAACTCAATTCCACTAACTTCCATTGCTAAAATTTCACGCTATGGCATGCTAAGCAAACCTAATACTAACCACCTGAAAGCACCCGCAGTCAAAACGGCTCGATCTTTAACTGTTCCTAAACATTCTCTAGAAAGCACACCTTCAAGTTCTAAGCAGGAAAGCGAGTCGGTTATTAATAAGTTGTCCAAGCGACTTGGAGGTGTTCAGCTGAGCAATGGGTCAAGCAAAACGAACAGTGGAGCTGTATCTGAAGCAGGTGCCTCCACTTCGGTTGAACCAGATGCGCACTCCACAAGTGCACTCTTCGGATCAGTGTCACCCAGTCTTCCCGGTTGTAGCCACTCAAACATCTGCGACACTTTTAAAGAACGAATTCAATCTAGTCCCTCACCAAATTTAATTCTCCGTTTGGCTGATACCATCAGCAACAGCTCAGATGATGACAACTTTGATGAACTTTGCCTACTCGAAGAGAACAAATGCAATATTGCTAATGATTCGGATGACTCTGCCTCAAGTAAGTTTTGGGTACATTTGTGCGAAAATTTTCAACTTTGTTTTTTTCTATAGACAAATCTGCCAGATCGAGATTTTCGGTTTCCAAATTAGATGATCTTGTGTCTTCATCGCTGGTAAGTTTTGTAATTCTTTTGTTTACTACAATTTATGATAACTAATTGTGCATATTTTAGTACCAAAACAAACAGATGAACAGCAATCAGCCCGTAAATCAGTCTTTACCTTCTCCCCAGTCTTCTCAAGTCCACAAAGTTGGCGAACAGTCCAACAAAAGGGGCCTGTTGAATGTGGGAAAATCAATTCGCAATACCAGCAGTGTTCTGCCTCTGCGGAACTGTCACGTCCACCGAGGCTCTATTTCCAGCAATGATCTGATGAGCAGCTCCAACTACGTTCCCAGTCACCGTCTGTTGCATTCCACTTCGTACAATCCATCATCATCTCATTGTTGTCACTTTCGTCATCACCATCATCACTACGACAGCCACCGCCTGGACTCGATGATACCAATGGCGTCAATGAGGTCCCCGCAGTGCGTCGGCAATCAGAAGAATCCGTTTGAGCAGCTGGGCATGAGCTCCATCGAGGCGACCTCCATCATCAGTAGTCACTGCAATACGGAGAACAACTCCAGTGCTTCCAATGCAGCTGCCATCACCAAGCTGACGGCCTCCTCCATATCGGGACTGCCGGTGTCAGCGTTGACCGTCATGGAGTCCCCGAATCTCTCCGCTCGCACTGGTTCCTACAACTGGCAGGCGTTTATGCCTACGCTCAAGGATCGCATGGCGACCGTATTCAATCACGAGCTTCTCGCTGATGTTCACTTTATTGTGGGAAAGAGCAATACACGAATTCCCGCTCACAAGTTTGTGCTTGTTGATTTCTAATGTGAAAATAATTATCTAAATGAATTTTTTATTTTCAAGGTTTTTGCTTTCGATTGGCAGCGCCGTCTTTGACGCCATGTTCAACGGACCGCTGACCCGGGCGGCGCAGAGTGACGAACGAAGTAAACTGGGGGAGGCAGTGCCAAACACGTCCGGCGATGACACTGAAATTGAGCTTCCAGACGTGGAGCCAGAGGCGTTCATGGCGTTGCTTCGATTTCTCTACCTGGACGAGGTGCAGATTGACGCCGAGACGGTGATGGCGACGCTGTACGCGGCCAAGAAGTACGAAGTGACCGCACTGGAGATGGCCTGTGTAGACTTTCTCAAGGCGAACCTGAACCCTGACAATGCCTTTATGATGCTCACACAGGCGCGCCTCTTTGATGAGGGCACCTTGACCGACCTGTGTCTGGAGACAATCGACAAGAACGCCATGGACTCGCTCTTCTCTGACTCCTTCTACGACATCGACCTAGACACCCTCAAGCTGGTCCTCAATCGTGACTCTCTTCGGGTTCGAGAAGTGTCGCTCTTTATTGCCGCCATTCGCTGGGCCGAGCTCGAGTGCACCCGTCGCTCCTGGGAGCTGACCACGGAGAACAAGCGAAAGGTTCTCGGTGATGCGCTCTACATGATTCGCTTTCCGCTGATGACCATCGAGGAGTTTGCTCACAATGTCGCCCAGTCTGAGTTGCTCACCGACAAGGAGGTGGTCAATCTCTTTCTCTTCTTTACCGTCAGCTCAAAGCCCTCGTTGCCCTTCTCCCTTGAGCCTCGGTGCTGCATCACAGGGGAAGAGTGTTCGGTCAATCGCTTTCGCAATCGGCCGCAAGCTCGATGGGGCTACTCGGGCACGAGTGACCGCATTCGCTTCCTCACCGACAGTCCCATCTTTGTCACCGGCTTTGGCCTCTTTGGTTCAATTCACGGTCCCTCCGAGTATGAGGCAAACATCGAGGTGATCCACACTGGATCGGGAAAGGTGATCGCCACCAATACGACCTCTTTCGTCTCTGATGGCACTGATTCGATGTTTCGCGTCATGTTCAAGTACCCGGTGGAGATTACGCAAAACACCAACTACACTGCCTGTGCTACTTTAAAGGTAAAACTAAAAAGAATAGAAATGTTCATCAATTGACTAATTGCTAATTCACCCTTTTAGGGCGTCGACTCGTACTACGGCACCAATGGATGTCGCACGGTGACTGTCAATCTGGGCAAAGGTGACGCCAAGGGGACGGTGACATTTCAGTTTAGCTACGCAGCCGGCTGCAACAACGGCACCTCAGTGGAGGATGGCCAAATTCCAGAGATACTGTTCTACACTTAGCCCACATCGGTAGAGCATGCTTACTTACTGTAATAACACCTTTTCTTGTGATACTTTTTAATCCGAGGATACAATTAAAAGTTATGCTAGTTCTTCACACCAATTTTCTGCCAGAGAACTTGCGAGCGCTACCTAGTGGTGGGCAGAGGAGGCACCGTTTGGGCACTTTGCCACGCTTCGGCAGAGAGTGGCGCTTCGGTGCGCCAGTCAGTTCAACGAGCTTTGCACAACAGTCAGTGGCACTTTGCGACCAGTACAGCACTGCACAAGAGGCGCACCATTCTCCAATATCTTTACGCGCTCAGTCTCTTCTCCGCTGGCCCTAGCCTCGCGCTCTCACTTTCCCGTCCTTCCTTTCTGCCCTATTCGAGTTGGCCTCAACACCAAACGGAAATCGTGGTCTCTTCGACAGTCTTCTCGCAACATCGTCACAGCACCTCCGACCCCGAGGACCAGTGTGTGTGACAGCACCACCACCATTCATTGCGAGCACACCGGCCAGTTTTGGCGTAATACAGGTAATACAACAAAGTGACACATCCCGTCGACGAGTTCTTCTATCTTGTCACATTGCGTGCCGACACCGCCGCCACCGCCGCTGCTGCTGATAACACCCCACATCACCGCTGAGCGCTCCCACTTTGCCCATGCATTGCCCTCTCGCTCGCGTTCTAATCTTGAATGTACAATTACTTGTTTAGATTAGTACACGTCATCTTGCTGTTCAAATCGCGCTGAACTAACCACCACCACTACTACTACCAAGACCTGTTTCGTTTCACTACATCGACGACAAAAATTGAAAAGATGGGTTCTTTCACATCCAATTTTTTGCTCATTACATTCTTGGCCATTGTCACGTTTGTCGTTCTCGACATAAACCAAAGTGACATTTACGAAAGTAAGCATTGTTTTGTAATTTTGTTATTCTGCGATTGGCTAATCATTTTATCCACTCAACTAAATAGAATCGACAACGGCAAAGTACTTGAACAAAGTTGGTGCAACGCCTTACATCAACAAATCGATCGCCACGATTAAGACGTCCAAGTAAGTGCACGTCCTTTCTAGTGTAAAAGGAAATATCTAAATGAATCTTTTATTTTCAAGGTTCTACAAGCTGTACTTTCTCCCCAACTGGAACGCTCTCATTCGCTTCCTCCGGCCTCATTTTTCGACTGTTCAGACAAACGTTCTCAAGTACAAGAACCACGCCACCAAATGGATTCAGAAGAACACGGTTTCTTTGGTGGACTACGTAAGTGTTTTGTGCTCTTGTTGTATTTTGTCAGCTTCTAATTGATCTTTAAAACGTAATTAGGTTGACACCACCGTTATTCCCGTTGCCAAGGGCTACTACTCGCACTACGGCAGTGTTCTACAGACATACTTCAACCGAGTGTACTCTGCAGCTTCTGAGCAAACCCTCATCGCTAGCAACTGGCTCAGCAAAAATGTTTGGACGTACGTTGCCTAGTGTTTCTGCCTGCGTAGTGCAAAGATGTGCCGTAACCAATGCTTTATACTATTATATTTTCTAAACAGCAAATTGCCTCAAGAGGAAATGCAAAAAGCTTTTGTTCGCTTTGTAACCATCACTCAAAAAACTGCGACCGACACCTTTCAGTGGGTATCGACTCAGGTTCAAAAGCTAATTGTCTAAATATGAGTCCTTGAGAGGCGTGTAAGGAGGACCAAGCGCACTTTTTCATTCCACCACTATTCAGTGTCCATTGGAGTGTACATTCTTTTCCTTTTTTCTTACTAATTATTTTTTATTAATCACATTTATATTTATACAGTGAACTTTTGCTTGTGTAGCCATGCAGTGATTCTTGTATTTATTTTCCATCTCTTATGTACTCTGCTTATCACTTTCACCCACAGAATAGGTATTCTCTATATAGCTTGACAGGAAACTCTTCTCCTTTATATTATTCACCCATCTTCATATTTACTCGTGTAAACTGTAAATAGGAATAGGATTTCAGTTAGCTCCCTTAGTGCTGGTCCACTCGTTTATTTTATTGTAAAAAGCTCGTTGTAAAGGGTGAGCCAATAAATTAAATGCATGTCCCACCGACAGTTCAGGAGTTTGGAAAGAATACTTTTTGAGTATTTTCATAGATGGTCTGCGCCAAAGTGTCCGCGTCAATGTCGGCTTTGAGCTTGGAGATTACCTCAAAAACCTGAACAATGTTTGCTGGCTCGTTACGACCTTTGACTTGCTTAGCTTCACTCCACTTTTCCTTCTTCACCGACTCGAACTTTGTCTGAACGTGCTCGGAGCTCGCATGAGATGCTTTGATTTCACACCAAGGACAGTCTGAAAAGGGTTGCGAATGTGTTGAACTCAAAAATGAAACTTGCTGTAAATAAACATTCCCACTTACCAGTTTCAATGAGTAGCCTGTCAATGGGCAGTTTTTGTACCACTTCAAGATTTGCATCGGTCTTTAGTGAGCAGCCATTGAGGCCAATGTACAGACCCAAATCGAGGAATGACTTTGCCTCTTTGTAGGTTCCGTCGAATGAGTGCACCACGCCGGAAGTGTAGCTGTCTCGGTGTCGATTGAGAATCTCCAGCAAGTCAGTCGCAGCATTGCGACAGTGTAAAAACAGTGGCAGTTTTGTCTTTTCGGCTACTTCGAATTGAAGTGCAAAGTTTCTAGAGATAGAAGGTGTTAGTTTTGGGAAACTGCTATAACGTTTGAGCATCATTACTTGATCTGCGCCTCCTTGGGACAAAAGTGCAGTCGGTCGTAATCGAGGCCAAACTCGCCCACCGCAACCACCTTATCGGCATTGTCCTTTGTCAGCTTCACCATGGAGTCAATATACTGCTGGGCATCATCCTCCAGCTCCAGGCACCTGGTGGGATGGCAGCCCACGGTGGAGTACAGCATCGGATCGCTCTTTGCTACCTTCAGTGCCTTTTCACTGTCCTCCAAACTGCCTCCTGTGATGATGATCTATTAAACAGTAAACAGATTGAGCTTGTAGAGATTCATCCCACTTTTTCGCTTTTACTAACCTTCTCAAGACCGAATTGAACAGCTCTTGATAGGACGGTTTTCAAGTCAGCTGCATGGCACTGCTTTCCATTGTACAGTCCCTGGTACATTGGATCTGGAAGAAGAAAGTCTCGTAATGCTTTGTCATGACAAGTAAGTCCCCCCAGATTGTACTACCAGTTAGGTTTGCGCCGATGTCGATGAACCGGCGTCTTATAATACTGCCAGCCATGATGTCCAAGGAAAGGAAAGGATTGAGGATACTTGAGAAGTTACTGTGCCACTAGTATCAAGCACAGACGCCTGCGGTGCACGTGCACAGCCGACAGACTGACTGACGGAGGAGGACTGTGCGCCGCCTAGCGACAGTCTCCCACCGGCAGTAGAAAAAAAGTTTCCAGTGCGAGCCACACTCACTTGCTCTTTCGCTCACTCTCTCACTCACTTTCACTTTACTCTTTGTGTGTGTCTGTCTAGCCAACGCGGATCCAATTACTGCATCACCACCACCGCCAAGATGGGTGTCGAAGTTCAGTCAATCTCACCTGGAGATGGTAATTTGTCAGACTGACAAGCGACACCGCCTCTCTAAAACTCCCGTCTGTCATATTTCCCCCCTTAGGTTCCACCTATCCGAAGACCGGGCAGACGGTGGTAGTGCACTATACCGGTAAGTACTGCTGTCTGTACCTCTATATACCAGGGCTCGGCTCCTGTGTCTATGCACCTTCTCTGACACTTCTTTGACCTTGACTTCACAGGCACCCTCGCCAATGGCACCCGATTTGACTCGAGCCGCGACCGTGGCAAGCCATTCAAGTTCAAGATCGGCAAGGGCGAGGTGATTCGAGGATGGGATGAGGGAGTCGCCCAGGTACGTGTTCAGCTATCAGTGTGATGGGCAGTATCTCACGATAAGCATTTTCTCCTTATCATTGAACCCAAACAGATGAGCGTCGGCGAGAGAGCGAAGCTGGTCTGCTCGCCCGACTACGCTTACGGCGCCCGTGGCCACCCTGGCATTATTCCAGCCAACGCTACGCTGACTTTTGACGTCGAGCTGCTTGGTCTGGAGTAGGTGATATGAAGACGATGACCAGCACTCCAGCTACTCCAAGATAAGCAGGCAGTTCGTTTTTTCCAAGCCTCCTCAAGTACAAACACTATTTTCTATTTACACATTTTTAAAGAAACTCTAGCCTGTCTAGATCTCTAGGACCATCTTCTAAATTGTTAGGTTACCACTTTACACTGTCTTCTTCACCAACCACTTTGGCCCCTTCCCTGAGGATTACGCT